GGGGCTGGGGGGAGGGGCGCTCTGGTCCCGCCAGGCCGGGGCTTGTATCTTACCCCCTTCGCGAGGCGCTGGGTTCTCGCAGGTGTGGATGTGGTCTGGATGTTGTCCTGTGTCCTCTGGTCTCTATTTTAGGAAGAGTTGTGTTTGTTATATTTTTATAGATATATGTGGTTTTGGGAGCAGATTTCCGCTGCTCTACTCATGCCGCCATCCTGGCTCCGTCCCTGTTCCTTCAGTTTTTTATTTTTATTTTTTTTATTAAGGTATTATTGATATACAATCTTATGAAGCAACATATGAGCAACATTGAGGTTTCAACATTTATCCGTATTATCAAGCCTCTGCCACACTCCATTGCAGTCACTGTCCGTCAGCATAGTAAGATCTATAGAGTCACTACTTGTCTTCTCTGTGCTGTACTGCCTTCCCCATGACGCCCCCCCCCAAACACTATGTGTGCCAGTCACAATGCCCCTCAATCCCCTTCTCCCTTCCTCCCTGCCCACCCTTCCCTACTCTTTCCTCCTTCCTCCTTCCCTTTGGTAACTGCTGGTCCCTTCTTGGAGTCTGTGAGTCTGTTGCTGTTTTGTTCCTTCAGTTTTGCTTTGTTGTTATGAGGGAAATCATTTAATACTTGTCTTTCTCTGTCTGGCTTATTTCACTGAGCATAATATCCTCTAGCTCTATCCATGTTTTGGCAAATGGTAAGATTTGTTTGAAGATGTTATGTTTTTTAACATTTTGAGAAAATTTATTCTTACCACACAGCCTTTTGTTCCTTGATATTTCATACAGAGTGCAACTAGCAGAGGGTAAGTTCATAGAAGGAATCAGCTTTCCTGACCAGCAGCATCAGTGTCACCTGGGTTCTTGTTAGAAATGGAAATTCTTGGTCCCCTCCCCAGGCCTACTGCACCAACAGGTCTGGGGGTAGGGCCCTGCAATCTGTCACAATGCTTCCCCAGTTGATTCTGATGCACACTTAACTTTGAGAGCTATGGGAAATAGGTGATGCTGTGCTTTCAATTATTTTGTGTGTCTGATACTCATAAAAACATGTGATCAACAAATATTCATTGAGCATTTTTTATGTATCTGTTCAGGACAGCATCATATACTGAGAATACAATGGCAACACAGAGTATAAACCTTCCCCTGAACTTGCTGTACCTTTCCCATAGCCTTGAGGAGTAGTGAGTTTGTTGCATGACTGTCTCATTGACACTGAATGCTCCGCACCCACAGAGGGTTTCTAAGACCAGAGGCAGATAGATGTGAAGTGCCCCAGGAAGTGTCTGGCATGTAGTAGGCACTTAAGGAAAGGCTGCTTTTGTTTGAAACAGGGAGGACTCTTTTTAAGTTCTTGTCACTACTCCACAGACCTTTTAGCCTGAATTGTTTGGACTGGTTTCATTCCTCAATTGAAGGTCCAGCCTCCAGAGCTCTGGGCAATGTCCATTGTTTTGGTGCTGTAGTTTTTCTCTTCTTGTGTGGACTCTTAACTGCTTATGTTCCTCATGTTCCAGAGTGTGTCAGTCATTTCATCCTCTCCTGAGTTGGACTTGCTCTGGTGGCTTCCCTTCGTCCTTAAGCATCACTGATTCATTTAAGAAATACCTGTGGTGTGCCTGCTGTGTGATAGGGATTGGGCAGGAGTTGATGCATTAATAGGTTTGCCCTTTGCTCTTATTGAGCTTAGCCTGGTGGCGGAGTAACATCATAACTAGATAATCACATGGATGGCAATCACAAACCTTGTGCTGTGAAGGAGAGAAGCAGCTTACAGTGATGGGGCTCGACAGTGGGGAGCAGCAGGGTCCTCAGGAGGCTGCAGAGAGGGCATCTTTGAGATAAAACCTAATGGGCGAGAAAAGCCAGCCAGTGCCCCCAAAGAGTGGCAGTAGTGTTCTGAGGAGACTGACCAGCGCATGTCAGGGTTTTCAGGTGAGAGGGACCTTGTAGGGGGAGGAGCCTTAAACATCAGGAGATTTTTATGTGATGAAGTTGGAGGGAGCTAGAGCCAGGCCAGCAGCTTGGAAGCCTTCAAGGGAGTTGGCATTAGTCTAGGTAACAGCATATAGCAATTTATTAGTGATAATAGTACATATATATATCATGCTTATATATGTTCTTTTATATGTAGGTTATATTTCACAATAAAAAGGCAAAAGCAAAATGCATGGCAGATGTTAAACAGTGACTGAAGTGAGGCTGCCAGTGTAGACATTTGGGAGCCTGAGAGCACAGGGACCCGCACAGCCCAGGGCTCAGCGCACAGCCAGGCCCTCAGAGCTTATTGGCTGATGGGATACGTGCCACTGTCGTCCTTGCCCGGGTCACTTCTGACTCTTTGAGGCAAGGTGCTCACTTTCAGTGACTTGTCTGCCCATTGTATGCTTTCAGGGAACAGCAGTGAATGTCCCCCTCCGGGAAATGCTGCAGATGACACGGTGTGCTTGGACCTCGGCAAATGTAAAGACGGGAAGTGTGTTCCCTTCTGTGAGAGGGAGCAGCAGCTGGAGTCCTGTGCGTGTAACGGTGAGCACATCCCCGTGCCCTGACCTTGCAGCAGGACAGAGGATGGCCTGTCTGCCAGGCCCTGTCCCCCTTCGTAGGACACCTGCAGGGCATCCCTCACTGCTGGTCGGGGCAGTAGTGAGAACCCTGCTGGGGCAAGGCAGAGTGCTACGTGGAGACAGAACCCTCTGGGTTCAGATCCTGGCCCCTCCACCTTGTCTGTGAAAACTGTCCTGTGGCCTTCCATTTTCAGACCATGTGGCAGGCTTGGGGGTGGGGTGGGGACCAGAGGCAGCTTTGTTGTGGTTGAGTAGGTGGAGGTCTGCCCCCCCACCCCATCCTGCCACGCATACACACTGTGAAGGCAGCAGTAGCTGTCTGCATCCCGTTGGCACTGGACTGTGGTACTGCCTCGGAATTCAGAGTGAGTTCAGGACCTGACTCACTGTGCCAGGGTGTTCTGCTGCCCTCTGCACCCCACCAGATGTCTGGGACAGGGGCCTCTCTTAGCGGTGGCTGGTGACATCGTGCTGGCCCCTCAGACACTTGTCCTCAGGTTTCCACCCTCTAGTTTTAGAACCCCTGGATCTGAGGGGCCTCGGGGGCTGGCTGGGCTCTGAACTTCCTGCCCCATCGCAGGAGGATTCTGCTTTCAAAACAAAAAATCCAGAAGTCAGAACCCACTGGGTTGGGAACTCACCATTGGTACCATGGAGTGAGCGCTGCTTCCAGGTGGAGTAACATGTAAATAGGGAAGAGAGCACATGGCAGGTGCCACATAAATAACTTACCGAGTGAGTGCCAAGTGGCCTGGGATGCCCTGGAAGGACACAGAGTAAATGCCCAGGAAATGCGTAATGAATGATGGAAAGGCTTTAATTTTCCCTTTAAAGTGGTTTTGCTTGTTTTGTGTCCTAGTTGATTTCAGTTTCTCCTAAGTAAGTATAAATATGGGATTTTCCCAGGTCATGTTAAGACTGTCCCGAGTCACAGTGCCAGTCAACTTTTGGGACATTTCTGCCACTCGTATGCGTGTCAGATGGCTTATTTGATGCCCAGTTGTGTCCTGTCCACCCTTGTGCTGTTGGAGGGTGGTTTTGTGGAGGGGATAGTGGAGCTCAGGTGCAGGGCTCATGGTTTGAGGGGTGGGGCACTGAACGCCGACCCGCAGGAGGACAGTTTACCCCCACCAGACTTGTGCTGGAGCCTTGGCTGCCGCAGTGTGTGCGTTTTGAACTGAGAAGCAGGGATTGAAATCGGCAGTGGAGTAAGAAAGTTGTGACAGACGGAAGCATTTGGCATTATGAAGGATTTGAAGCAGAGCAGTTTGGCTTTTATTCTGTTAAAGAAATGAAACAAGTTAGACTGTTTTTTCCTCGTGGCGTCTCAGAGGGCCAAGGAGCATGAACTCTGAAGTTACTCCTTGGGGGGTGAAATATGGATGGTATTAGCTGTTGGAATGGAAAACAAATGTGATTCCTTCCTCTCTGGGAAGTGTGTGCACGGCTATGAGTAACGGCAGCTCTCGGGCCTGTTCTGTTGCAGAGACTGACCACTCCTGCAAGGTGTGCTGCAGGGACCCCTCAGGTCGCTGTGTGCCCTACGTCGATGCTGAACAGAAGAACCTATTTTTAAGGAAAGGAAAGCCCTGTACAGTAGGATTTTGTGACATGAATGTGAGTATTTATGTAGAGCTTTTTCTTTAATAGCTAGACAGGAAGTTATGTAAATACTTGACTTTGTAAATGAAAGGCAATCAGTACACAAGTGCTGCCGTGTCTCTCCAACCCAGTGCTCATCCCTGTGTGTCTGTAGGTCTGACTAAGGAAGGGGCCAGTGCTCTCAGATGGGAGCACTCTCAGGAGCAGGGGACCGGGTCCACAAACTGGGCAGGGCCTGGGGGCGTTGTTTGGTCAGGTCGGTTGGTTTTAGGCAGTGAGTCTTAATTATTTTGTTTTCTAGGCTAATTTTAAGATTAGCTGAGATTGCAGAATTGCACGTTTTGATTTTGAAACAGGTGCTGAATGAGTAGGAAAGACCTAGAGGTGGCTTGACCCACCTGAATCAGACCCTTTTGTTCTCCACAGAAACAATTTTATTCTTGCAGAATCACGGGACAGGACTTAAAGGGTTAGGGAGGCTTCCCTAGGCAGCGCGGTTGTGTTCTTCCCTCACTGTGTCAGGGGGATCATTGTAGTCCTTCCTGGAGCGCCCCATCTTCACCAACCAACTTTCTCCAGTTTTGTCTCCTGGTAATTCTACACTGATTTATAAAAACAGACTGTGGAAATGGCAGTGACAGTGTGTCCCACCTCCTTATGTACTCACTAAAAAGTTCCTTGGGTCAAAGACAGTCCCCTACATGCTTGATTTAATGATGCCCTTTCATGTTAATTATTTCAATAAAAACCACATGGCTGCTAGCTTTCAGAAGCAAGGATATTTCCTCTAGGGTTCATAATGCTCTTAGGGGTAATGCTGTTACATTCTGTCTTCATAGGGTAAATGTGAGAAACGAGTACAGGACGTCATCGAGCGGTTTTGGGACTTCATTGACCAGTTGAGCATTAATACTTTTGGTAGGTGATTTCCGCAGGGGGTGGCTTGCTTAGAACAGAGCTAACTTTGGCAGCGATACCAGAAAAATATGGTTTCAGACTCATATGATCTGACCCTGCAATAGAAACGGAAGTATTCCCCACTGGTTTTTAAACAACTGTTGGCTAAAATAAAGTTGACTCATTATAGATCTGCCCCTGTGTAGGTGGATGCACTAATTCCCAGACAACAGAAGGCAATACTGAGTCAGAATACTGGCTGTCTTCTTTACTAAAAACAAGTATGTGACAGCCTAAGCATGGTTCAGTCCTATAGATTGTAAATCTGAATCCTGTTTGATATAAGAAACATTTGTTTAAAAGTGAGTGTCAGATTTTTCAGAAGCAAGGATATTTCCTCTAGGGTTCATAATTTAGAGTTTAGTCACAAAATTATATCTAGAGAGCAGTAACTTTGTCTTCTTAAGCATCATTACAATATTCTGTATGATGAGTCCGCTGCTAGGGATTGTACTGAGCTCTCTCTAAGGTAATCTGTTCTAATCAGCAAGTCCGTCAGGGCTGTTTCTGAAAAAGCCCCCGTGGTGGGGAGGTGGTCGGGTCTAGTGTGGTGGCAGTCCTCACAGTGCTGTCAGGGGTGCTTCTGTGCCAGCGATCTCTGGCATTTGACACAGTCATGCTCTACTAAGCCCATTTAATTTTAGATTTCCAAAGTACTTGATCAAGACATTGTTTGGAATGTTCACAGGGAAATTTCTGGCAGACAACATTGTTGGTTCTGTCCTGGTCTTCTCCTTGATATTCTGGATTCCTTTCAGCATTCTCGTCCATTGTGTGGTGAGTCACTAGGTTTTAAGTAATGAAATGTTACATTAAAGTTTTGAGCAACTCCAAATCAACCATACAAAGTTTAGAAAAGATAAATTTGTTCTTAGTGAGATCTGATGTGATGTCTCCAATGACATTTTTATTTTCCCTAGGAAAGCATATTTTGTAAAAAGCTTAATTTACAATCTTTTTAAAAAAATTATACTTTGTGAATGTTTTGTTCTCATGTATCATTTCTGAAGAATTTTATATTTCCAAGCACAAGAGGCTGTTTAACTGGATTTGTCTAGGATCTCTGATGAGTGAAGTTTCTAAGCAGGCATTTTCAGGCATAATAGAGCAGACATCAGCATTCCATAGCTGGCACCCCGATGCCACATATAGATTCTTGGCACTTTCATATGGGGTATTCTCATCCTTCCAACAAGTAAGAATGAACAGTCTTTCTTATTTTCATTCAAAATGAGTAACAGCTCACAAGACGAATTGGGCTTTGTCCGAGGAACTCCAGGTACCTGATAAATTTGGGACACTTCTTCAAATCCCTTCACCTTGTTTCCATGGGAAAAGAGGATGTGTCTGCTCTAGACCTAGGCTTCCAGACTGACACTTTACCTAAAACTCTTGGCCAGTGCTTCTCATATGAGCACTAGGAGAATCCTGGCCTAGTTCTCATTACTGCCTTTCCCATGGCTTCTCCTGCCTGGGCCGTCTGCCCGAGCAGTGCTGCTTTGGATGGGGAGCAGCTCTGCTATAGCAAAGCTGTTCAGGGTCACAAGGTTCAAGCTTTAACAGATGGATGGCAGTGCCACCCGTTATGGTTGCTTTTACTTGGGAGTTGAACCTACTTTGTTTACTGTAAAAATTATGAATGTGGACCACAAGGCCTGACCAAGTTGTGACAAGAGGGAGGGTAGTGGCTTGTTTCTGACCACAGAATACATTCAGAGTGAGGGCTGGAGGCCACTTGATTCTCAGGCTCAGCCTCCTGCCTCCATCCTCCCCCCGTGTCATCTGTGGCACATCAGCCACAGGTAGGGACGTGGGAGGGGGAGGAGGCAGCAGATGGAACCACGTGTTCAGCCTCCTGCGCAAGAATGATGCAGGGACGTAAGGCCCAGTTCCTCCAAGAGCTTGGGCCACAGGAACTCCGCAACAGCTGGGAGAGTGTGGCAGCTGTGGTGGGCTGGGCAGTTTGAGGCCGGTGCTGAATGAGACAGCAAGCGGCCCCGGCCGGCCCCACCGCAGGGAGCGGCCCTTGCTGCTTCCTGCCATGGGGGAATCTCTCAGAAAAGTAGCACCGAAGCCTTGCCTCTTTCTTGATGTAATGCCAAGAATGAATTTCCTTTAAGTACTAAGGAAACACTTGCAAGCTGGTGGCAGAACTCTTTAAGCTTGTGTAAGAAATTCATTCTCATCTATTGGACTTGCTATTTCTTCTCTTAGTATTAGGAGAGCATCTAAGGAAAGAGCACCTCCCTGAATTGTGTGTAGGAATGACCTTTCTCCTGCCCGTCTCTCCTAGGATAAGAAGCTGGATAAGCAGTATGAATCTCTGTCCCTCTTTCACCCCAGTGTAAGTATACCGCGGGAAAGAAAGTCACTTCAGTGGCACTTTGGGGCCCTGCTGAACAAAGGCCTGCAGGTGGCCACCCCAGCAAGAGCCGCTGTCACCCTGTGCAGCCCTGCTCTGGCTGGTGGATGGTCATACTGCAGCAGGGTCTGGGTTGGATGTTCAGGTAAATTCTCCTGACAGCACCAGCCCTGAACATTTACTTTTTGTGTGAACAGAGCAGGAGTGGCATTGCTCCTACCCAAGGCTGTGACTGATTTAGCTGCTGACTGATTTGAATATGTCGAGGTCTTTTTCTATCTTGGGATCTTAACTTGGTAGGGTTGTTTCTTACGAGTGCTCTTGGGCTTCCAAATGGCAGCTCACTTCTGAGGTGAGGGAGAGCCTGTTTTAGCTCGCAGGGTCACGGTGCCAGCAGTGTTAAGGCCACTTGGTGAGGAAGGTTGGAGCTGAAAGACCTGGATTCATCTTTCACTCCATTTCTTTCCAGAATGTTGAAATGCTAAGCAGCATGGACTCGGCATCTGTTCGCATCATCAAACCCTTTCCTGCACCCCAGACCCCCGGCCGCCTCCAGCCCCTGCAGCCTGTTCCTGTGATACCTTTGGGGCCTGTGGCTCCAAAACTGGACCACCAGCGAATGGACACCATCCAGGAAGACCCCAGCACAGACTCACACGTGGACGAGGATGGCTTTGAGAAGGACCCCTTCCCAAACAGCAGCACAGCCGCCAAATCGTTTGAGGATCTCACAGACCATCCGGTCACTAGAAGTGAAAAGGCCTCGTCCTTTAAGCTGCAGCGTCAGAATCGTGTTGACAGTAAAGAAACGGAGTGCTAATTTAGGAATTCATGTTCTAAGCTCTTCAACTGTGCAAAAATATTTTTATAGATTTGACCTAAAATTACTGCATATATTTTGTGAAGATTTGGGAGAAATAAGGAAGTGACTTCACAGCAGATGCTGGTCATGTGTTTGGACTTCCTTCGCATACAAGGTTAGGCCCTTTTCCTTTTGAAGAGGTAAGGTGAATGAATCTAGCTTATTTTGAGGCTTTCAGGTTTTAGTATTTTTGATTTTTAAAATATCCTTCAACCTGTGGTGCAAAAGCAGAAAATACAGCTGGATGAAGTAATATGAATATTTACATTTTTGTAAATTAACTTTTTATACTGGTAATAGCACTGATTAAGGGAGGTGATCAGTTTTTTTTTTAATACACTGTAATGATCCGCTGAATATAATGAGGCATTTAGCAGGTACTTAATGAGGATAACAGGAACACAGATTTACTTTTTGCCTTCAAGACAAAGGAGATAAAGTGAAGTATACATTATCTCCAAAATGTTGGGTTCTAAGTATTACCCAGAGCTTTTAGCAGTAGGGAGAAGTATACATCTAAATCTAGGAATAATGTTGGCTAGTAATTCTAAGGTTAGTATTTGCTAGAATTAAAACAATCTAGCTTATTGTGAGGGTTACAAATAGTAGCCAAATTGCGTTTACAGAATCCTGCCAACTGCTTAGGGCCATAATTTGCTGGGCTGTTTTTCTGTGTTTTAGAAGTATCTTCAAGTATCTCTAATTCTGTTGTCATGCTCTTAAAAAGATACCATTCACAGAACTTAAATGGAGTATGGCTGCCTCTTTTCAACAGACACTAGTTGCCAAGAGGGTACATGAACTATTTCTCACCCAAAGAACATGTGGTTGTGAATGGGCCATGGGGTGACATGCTGGCCAGGGGTGGGAAGCTGCCGCCCATGGGCTTTATCCCTCCATGGCTGGTTCTGAAAGTCCCTTTGCAGTGACCTGCAGGTGGACAATGGCATTACTTTTTGCTTTAGTGCTTTGGGATGGTCTGCATTTACTGTGTGAAGGATAAAAATCATCAGATCGAATTGATTTCCTTAAAATTATAGTTAAAAGTTTTTTTCCCTACATACTGAGTTTCTCTACATACTGAAATGTACTCACCAGCCAACATATTTTAACTGAGATAACTTGTAAATTTTGAGGGCAATTAACCAAACCTGTGACAAACCCTGTCCTCCCTTCTGAGGGTGTTTGTTCTGCAGATAACCTGTTACACTAATACTTGAACTTGTTACCTTGTGGTATTTGCTGTCTTTAACTAGTCACAATATCCTTATATTTTAGTTACACTTTTAGAATCTGATAAAGGGTGTGTGGGTGTATGTATGGGAGAGAAAGTGTCCAGCTGAATGTAAGAAAACCATTTTTTATAAAATTGTGACAAAGAAAAACTTTAGCTTTTTTGCCTTTATAAAATTAAGCTGCTCGGGGTGTATTTTTAGCTGTGGCACTGACGACACCTGCATCAATCAATAAATACTCATTGTCAAACACGCTGTACTCAGGTACAAAGCTTCCCTGAAAAATTCTAATGCTTTTATTAATGTTAAGAAATACTAGTGTTTTTTTTGTTCTAGGGTCATGAGCAAAGACTTAAGCTTGAGAAAAAAAAAATCTTTGATCATCTATCTTGGGATCTTTGTTGACTGGCGACTTCCCATTTTATAAATTAACAGCCAGACTTGGTTTTCTCTGACTAATGATCCCCGTCTCCCAGAAGACTCAGTTCCGGTCCTGCTTCTGGTATGTCTCGCCAGTAAGGGAGCAGCAAAGGCAGGGAAGACACTTTCTTCTCTATCAAAGGCCATAGATGGGAGAACAAAAACTCATTTCCCTTTGGTGATAAGTGTAGTCCATCTGATAAGTAGGATGAAACGTCCTGTAAGGGAGAGGACTTGGTTAGAAAACTGGCTCGCATATCTTTAAAGGCCAGTGCACGCCTCTCCCTGCCGTGGCCACACCTGGCAGACCCCGTGCCCGGCAGCCTTCAGGTACTGCAGTAGCATCTGGATGCGTTTTGCATTATCAGATGCTCACAAGCCCTTTGTAGATGTAGGTTTGTACAGATGGAGCTTCCTAAAACCGCACACCACTGGCATGTGAGCTGAGACACCTTTCTAGGTCGTCATGAGTGAATGTGCATTAATCTAAGCAATGAAAAATGTGGTGAAATTGCTCAGAGCCCAGTGTGTCACATAGGTTTTGACTCTCTCAGCCTACATAGTAAACTGATAGGCAAGTTACTAGGTAAAAGAACCATTCAACCTGGAACAATAATTGCTGGGATGTTAGAGGCCAGTCTCCCCACGCCCAGATCTCAAGAACATTCCTCATTCAGCCCTTTCTCCTTTGACAAAGAACCCTTCTCTAAGCAGAGCTCCCTGCCACATCCCTGTTAGAACTGGGGTGCGCAGCCAGTTCAGACTGTTTGCAGACCAGGGGTTTCAGTTCTCACTGCGTATCTCCCAGGCCTTGGTTTACATCCGATGAGCTTTAAGGAAGCCCCTCTCAGTGCTAGAATCGTCATGTGATAAGAAGGACTTTCTCATTTTCTCTAGCAGCACAACTTCTCCAAACTATCTCAGGTAGAAGCTTAACCCAGATAAAAACAGAACTCTGGCTGCAGACCCCCTTTAGCACTCAAACTGCCAAGGCTGCTTCTGACCTGGGAGTCCACGGAAGTCAAGTCTACCCAGAGAAATGAAACTTAGGCTAAACACCCAGGAGTGAAATTGCTGGGTCTCATGCTAAGTGGCTGGGCTTTCTGCCTTTAAAACAGTAGTTACAATTACATATCTCAAAATACAGATTTTAGCTAATACCATATTTTACTCAAATTCATTATTTTGCCTGTTAATGGGTTTTAACTATACTCCATATTCTAAATGCATCTGGCCTGGATGTTCTTAAACATGAACCATTTATTGCTTATTTCTCTAAATGCTAATTCCTCACTATTTAGTGGGTTCCCAGTGTGTGCTGCAAACCACTGAATGCAACACCCTGGCTGAGGAAGGGGCTGGGTCTGCAAGTGGTCCTGGCGCCTCTCCACCTCCCCTCTGCCCTGGCATTTGTGTTGTAATTGGTGAAAGGGCCAACTATCTTACCTACTCTGAGCTGCTCCAGGCAGAGCCACACGTACGCGGGTCACCTGTGTGATCCTATGCACTCTGAACCGAGCAGTTAACGTACCTGCCTGTCCTTCTGCATGAGGGTCCACAGGTCAAGGGCATCAGTCCCACAGTCTTGGGCTACTTGTAAACAGGCACTGGCATATTCGCCAACAACTGAGTTCAGGCGATTTAGTTTGCAACCTGAGAAAAGCCCAGGTAGAAACATGATATAAACAAATCCTGTGTGAGTTCCACTGAGCTGGACAGCTTTCCTGTTCAAGTAAACAGGCACGTGTGCATGGCCCTGGCATGGGCCAGCACAAGCAAGGACAGGTTACTGGTATACCACTCCACCCACCAACAGGAGCACGGACAATGGGGACGAGGGAGCCGGTAGGGGTCACTGTGGCCTCTTGAGGGGCTTGGCGGGCCACCACCCTGAGTTTCTATGTGTAGCAGGAAGCCATTGCAAAGTGGGAAAATCATTTGTAGACTTTAAACCAGCAAAGATATCTTAAGAGCTGGAAGGGACCACAGAGGTCATTAGGCTAGTGCAGGGGTTCGTGACCTCTCCTCCAACAGGCTGGGTAGTAATTATGTTAGGCTTTGCAGGCATAAGGTCTCTGCCAACTCTTTGTCCTGCCACTGCAGCTCACAAGTAGTCATGGACAATACGCAGTCAGTGGGCCCAGCTGACTCCCAACAGTCAGCAGGTTGACCCCCAGTCTTATGTGGTGAGTCTCAAACTTAAGCATACGTCAGAACTACTCGGACTCCACCCCCGAGTTCTGATGTGGCAGGTTTGGGACAGAGTCCAACAACCTGCATTTCTACCAGTTGCTTAGGTGATGTTGATCTGCTGACCTAGGACCACACAAGAACCACATGCTGTCTGATGGCTCATAAACCTGGCTGATGCAAACAATAAATGTTTGACATCAGAACTCAATACACATCTATATAAGTATAGCTGATCTCACAAAACAATGCCTACTGCGTTCTAGATGTGATTTTCTATTTCAGTTAAAAAAAGGTGACTCAATTGGCTTCAGGATCCACACATGGACTGTTAACCTGCAATCTGAGAAGCACTGACAGTTCTGACTTACACACCTCTGGCCATCCAGGCTGTGAATGTTCCTGCAACAGCGGGCTTCCTGCCTCACAAGCAAGCCCTTGACACAAGGCAGAATGCCACTCTGAGCTAAAACAGGCCACACCGTCCTCTTCCACGACAACACCCTTCAAATACCTGAGGGTGCCTGGCCTAGCTCCTGCTGTCTGTCCTCTCCTCCAGGGTAAGCTCTCCCATTTGCCCCTGGAGAGCGTTCCTTCACAGCTCTAAATTCTGCTTCAATATTCTGAACAGACCTCTGTTAAAACACTATCACTTGCTGCAAGTATCTATTTACTTGTCTCCCTTACTAGCCCAAGAGGCAGGAACTGGGTTCTAGTCATATCTGTGTTCTGAGCATCTGGCCTGGTCCTGGCACTGTGCAAAGGTAGAGTTTGTGGGCACAGAAGTGCCTCCAGGAGGAGCAAGGCAGGACCTAGTGCTGGCGCACCCACTGGCTGCATTCCGGGGCTCCGTCACAAGCAAGGCAGCAGGGCCTGCACCCGAGCACCCCTGCCGGTGAGCCTGCATGGGACCTTTGCTTTGGGAAAAAGAGGTCCCACCGCTGCAGGGAGCTTCCACAGGCGAGGTGCAAAAGGGCCACACCACACCGAGGGCAGAGCGGCCAGCTACAGGCACTTCCGCTGCTGTGGAGCAAAGCACATCCCCAGGCTCAGAACCATGTGGGGAACCACAGTTTATCTATTTGCTCACAGACCCTGGCTCAGCTGTCTGCACAATTCTCAACAGCTCCAGGTGTGCACCTTGGTGTTTGGCAAACACCAGGCCAGAGGCTCAATTTGTCCAAAGCAAGAATCCCTTTTCTATGTTGAAATGATCTCAGGCAGGACTAACAGAAGCTATCCTTTTATTGTTGAACCTCAGTTGATTGAAAACAGACTGGTATGGATTCAGCCCTAAGAACCCGAGGTGCACAGGATGGAAACCACCGTCCCATCAAATGCTGGTCTGACACCGCACCTGGCTTACCTAGCGTGAGGCACTCCTTTTCCCAAGCTGCCTCACAGAGTGGGGGTGGCGTGATGAGGACGATCCTGTGCTCAGGGACGCCCACAGACCTCAGGTACTGCACCATGCTCTTTAGGTTCCCACTGTACTCGCGCAGGGGGATGTGCTGCTTGGGATTCTCATCTGTTCAGGAGGAACACGGACACTTCAGCCCAGATGCAGGTTTGCTCTAAGTGACAACTGAGATTAGCAAACACTCACAAATAATTATGATTCATCATGTCCCTGGGGACTTGTTTGGCACAAAGGACGGCAAGAGAAGGAAGAATTCAAGTACACGGTTCTTTAAAATACAGACTTCAAAAGCTCTGCCCTTTTAAGTACTCACCTCTTTTCCAGCAGAGAAATGAATCCTTTGGGTTGAATCGGTAAAGAAATGAGCCTGGGCTGCTGCCGAGACTCCCTCAGGACTATCCCAGTTCTGTCACTGAGCAACGACCTACCCACGGGTAAATGCTCAGCCTTCTGTCCTGGCGCTCTACCTGGTAGAACGAGGACAGGGCCCACTCGGGACCGTCGTGAAACTCACACAAGCCAAGCCTGCGAAGCAGAGCGAAGCGCCTGCGGCGAGCAGCACACAAGTGCATGTTGTAGGTCGCCTCTGCCGCTGTGGTTGGGAAGGACCGGGGTGGGGCTCACACCGAGAACCAGGGCCCCCTGCAGGCCACCTGCCAGCTATTGGAGAAAGGGTATCACCCAGAAAACCTCTCTTGGCACTTGTATGTACCTCTTTCCCGTCTTTTCCATGTGGATTGGTATACTTAAAAAAAAAACTGGGGACCACACTGAAGACACACACCAGATTGTTTCCGCATATCAGATGAGCATTTGTGTCCACAAACAATCCTCAGAAACATGGTGTTGAGTTGTAGGGTGACTACGATGCTTTTTCTTTACAGCATTCTACTTTTTTTTGCTATTACAAGTAACTATTCATAGAAACCCCTGCATGTATACTTGCTGCATTACTATTTCCTTAGGCTTCATTTCTTGATGAGGGAATTCTCAACAGATGCTGTCAAATAACTTTCCAGGAAGCTCACAGGTTCGTCCACCAGTAACGTAAGGGCCCCCATTGGACTCCACGCTCGGCAGCTCTAAGTATTACTGCTTAACACTGTTCCCTTCCTACTGGAGTCAAAAAGCAAAATTCCTCGTTTTAGTTTGCAGCTTTTGAACTGCTGAGGTCGGAACACATTTTCAAACCCATACTGACTTGCTGCCTTGCCGGCTTCTCTACTGGAGTATTTTTCTGATTGCCACCTTGAAGACATGAGACTTTTCGCCATGTTTTTGCAAATATTCTCCTCAATGTTTCATGTTTTTTCTGTCTTGACATAAAGCTATTTTATTTCATATTCCAGTTTTTCGCTTTGCAATTTCCTCCATTATTTTTAAGCTCAGCAAGTATTTTTCTGTATCCTAAATTTGATAAAAAATTCATCTTAAAAAAAAATTCTATTCTTGGACTTTTCCTTCCTACAGGTTTTGGTGTAAGATGTGAAGGGTAAGACCTGACTTTCCTAACTTTTGGTTACATTCTCCACTAGCACCCGTGCCTGATTCTTTCGCAGAGGCAGCACCTGCTGCTCCTTCTCTCCAGCTCCGCGACTGGCCCCAGAGCGCCCACGAGTGGCCGCTGTGAGGGGAGGGAGGCCCGGGAGAAACCGGACGCTGACTACCCAGCCTTCTAAAATGACAGGCTGGCTTTCTTCCTTCACGCTGCGCAGAGGGAAGGGAAAGGGCTGCTCATGGCCAGGCCTGGTCACAGTGGCAGTTCTCCCAAAAACACGGGAGACGAGGCTCCTTCACTGCCACCCACGGTCCAGGTCTGTCCCTGGGGCAGGGGCTGCTTCCCTGCAAGGCTTACAAAGTGAGCCCTTGCTGCCAACTATGTCAACTAGCGAGAAGAAAACACAGGAAGTTTAGCACGGTACTAAATGGGCGTGAGAAGACATTACTGTTTGAAATCTGAAGTCTGCCAACAACCCAGACATGTAGGAAATCAAGTCAGGTATAAAATTCCTTGACATTAAAACCAGAAGAAATACACATAAGTAAACTCAGTGAACTCACTGTAAATTTGGCAAATTTTTATCTACTGGGAAATAACAGTTAAAAAAAGTACACAAATTTGCTATAACATAAAAATACTGAACTAGGAAAACAAAAATGCCTTTACCTTTTAGTGCACTGTCATTGGCACCAAAGAAAATCGTAACTGCTACTGGGGTGTCCAAACTGTTCCCTTCCCTGATTAAGCTTGGAAGGATAATTTTGGCCCATCTGGTATTATAACCTGAAAATCCACGATTCAGAACATCACATTTTCTGCAATGAAATTTTAAAAGAACATGAATTATGGGCAAAGAATTGTTCCCAGTCCCTGTAGCCAATCTCTGGTGAGTGTGCTCTCTGGGCTTGCAGCGCCCTTTGTCACGGCCCTGTTTCACCCTGACAAGAGCAGCACACAGTTGAAGCACGCCAGGCTTAAGTCATTCAAATACAGGTAAGGAGGAGACAGTTATGAACAAAGGGGCTGTGTCGGTGTGCAGATTAGCTGATCTCATGCACGGTCAGTGAGGTACTGCTTTAAAATGGAGTTTATTGCAGACAGGTACTAACCTGAGCAAGAATCTTAGCTAGAAAGCCACTGATTAACTGTAACAAGGTTTAGAGAAGATTCAGGTTCATAGCAAAACTGAGAGAAAGGTAGAGATTTCCCATATCCACCCCCCCACCACACGCAGACTCCCTCCCTATCAGCACCCCCCAGAGTGGGGTATTTGTCACAAGTGATAAACCTACACTGACACATATTATCATCTAATGATTTTATTATGATTTGATGATTTTAGTAAATATATTAGTCATGTTTCCATTTAAGCCAGTTAATAGGCCCTTTTTTCTTCTAAAACCGAGTACACGCAGTACCCGGTGGTACAGTGAAGACAAACCAGGGGTCCTGAGCTGTCGCCTCATCACTTAGTAGCTGTGACCCTGGGTATGTTTGTTGATGCTTAAACTTGTCCATAATAGATTTTTTTCTTACCAGTCTCGGAATTGAACTTATGGTTAGCAAATTGATGTGGCTCACTTTGGTGTATGGTTCAAATTCCTACATAGAAGCAACTAAGCAGAGATGCTCGGGCACCATGAATAACCACAGGCCTCAAGGCCCGGCAGCAGCCGCCACCAGAGGGGAGCAGGAGAGGCCTTGGCTTCGATGTACTCGAAGTTCCCAGCATTAGTAAATCTTGGTAAAACTGACAAAATAATAAAGTCACATTTCTAAGTGTGATTCTTGGTGTTTTTAATATGTGATCATTATTAAAAGCTAACTAGCCATTTTAAAGACCCAATTTACAATAATTCAAAATGGAATTCTCTGGAATTTTGACAAGGTGGTTTTTCTTAAATCCATCCAATGGTTTAGTCAGTGCAGCACTTAGAATCCAAAAGGCAAGGCAGCTTCCTCCCTGAGGCCCATGTGCGCGACAGTGAAGCTGCCAGGCCCAGAATCAGAGCGGCCAGTGCCTGGGTCTCCCACCCCTGACTAGCAACAGGGCCTGGGCCATTTACTTACCTTCTCTGCACCCTTCCGCCCCGGCAGCCGATCGCCTAACCTGCCAGGTTGTGTGAGGATTAAAAGTAATGTAGTGGCCAGATACACATAAGCAGCTCAATGAATGGCAGCTGTTACAGAATTTTTTCTTTAATTACTATAAGGCTGTGAACCAGGAAAAAAGTGCTTGTGAGAGGGTCAGGGTTGAAACTGTTAAGGTTTGCATTTGAAAAGGGAAGAATATTTGAATTTCTCTGGATTGAATAATATATTAAAAATGCTTAAGAAACTGGAAAATTAAGAAAGGCTATTACATAAATTAATGGCTAGTAACAGGTATTTTTCAAATGGAGATGGGAAAAGGAGGGGTTAAGAACTTAAAGATTCCTTCCAAAGCATGCAGGCTCTGTAACATTGCTTTCCAGGGAAAATGTAAATCAGGTGTTTTATCAATAACAGGCAAGAGTGTATCTTCAAAAGCAAACAGCAGATGCTTTACAACTGGAAAAGGCAAGTTTATTATAACTTCAAATCTTTCAAACCAAGTATTTTTAAAGAAATATTTTAAAATTGATGAAATATGTAAATCAATTTAAAAAGGATCTCAATGTATTTAAGAATTGTTAAAATGCTTTTATGAGTATACAAAGATCTTATTTAAAGCTAAAACTTAAAGATGTCACTATGAGACACAGGCAGTACCGAAGGGCAGTGACAGTAGGGGGGTCCCTAAACAACTTTCAGACTTAGAAACAGAGTTAAAACACTGGAACCGTCCAGGACTGTGCAGATGTCTAAGCAGACATGAGGGGCCTCGTCTGCAAAAAATTCACCCCAAGTATTAACAGCCAAAGAACGAACGCGTCCATCAGAAGGGCAGCTGTCTGCCGTGGAGCAGGAGGAAGTCACCAGTTATGGAAATAACCAAGGAGGGTGTCTGGTCCCTGGGCGGTGATGCAGACGGTGCTCTGAAGCCAGGCGCCGCCGAGCGGCTTGATGACCTGAGTGACTCAGCCTCTGTTTCCCCACAGCCCCCTAGTTCACCCTGCAGATCTGCCTGTTGGACAAATGGGGGCATTCCATTCTTTACCTTTTGTTCAGTTGGGTATTTAGTTTGTGATATGCTTGTGAGCTTGGCTTTCTGGAGTGTAGCCAGGAAGAAGGGGAAGTCACACAAATAAGGCACAGCAGACCATAGCCTGTCCACAACTTTGTCTTTTCTTGCAATTACTTTCAATTTTGAAAAATAACTAGCTAATTAAGTGGCCTTCTAGCAACCACACCTATAAACTATCAATTCTGACAAAATTTTAGTACTAAAATTAACTATTTTTGAAACGTGTTGGTGAAACATTTGAAATGTCTACTAGAGTTTTTCAGGTCATCTGAATTATTATTTAGCCTTTCAAGTCTCTTCTATTTTGAAATTCAGAAAAGGTTAATGGACTAATCAAACAGTTACTGGACTACTAAAAATCAAAGCTAGTCTTTACTGAGCACTTTAGGCCCCGGACATTTGGCTAAGCCAGCACACATTAGCATCCGCCCTCCCCGCGGGAAAGCAGGTGCCCTGTCATCTCCGGAGGCTTAGCAGCAAGGGCCCCAGAGCCAGGCCACCTGCCACTTCTTAGCTGGTCAGACTTGCTATTTAACCTCTCTCCACCTTATTTTTCTCAGCTACAAAGTGGAGAGAATGACGCATCACCCTGTACAGGGTAACTGTCAAGGTTAAATGAGACCATATACATGAAACATTTTAAGTGGTCTCTGGCACATGGTAAGCATTCAATAAATGTTAGTTATGATCCTACTTTATAGAAAACAGGAATGAAATGATACTTTCATGTTTTTAGATTAAGTCCACTTAAAAAGAGAACGCATTTGGGAACAGAGAAAGTTAGGAGGTCAATTTTTTCATTTCTAGTTTATGGGATAAAAGGAGAAAGTGAAGACATTTTAAAACACATTTTATATTTAGAAATAAAATAATTTTCTTGGTGTGTTAATTATACTGATGAAGAAAATTATCAAGTATAAGAAGCTGGTTACTACTGGTTCTTGGGTCTACTGTCTTAATGTGGAAAATAATTTAAATATTTCTGAATATCAACCTCAAATTGGGTCATTGTTTCTCTCTTAGTGACTTTAAGTTGCTTAAATTAAGTATGGCAAATAAGAGACCAAAAATCATCATTTGGTACATTTTATAAAAAGAATTTGGGGAGGAAAAAACTATCCAAAAATGAATCCAACTTTGGTTTAAGAATCTATTTTGCTTTCAGCTGAACTCCTACTAACCATTCAAATCATAACCACCATAACTGAATAAGAACGTTTCTTCTTTAGAGGGTGAGCAGCTGTATTTTTTGGATCCAAACCCCTAATATATTTGTCAGAACCTGCAGTTTTTACTTAACCCGAGTGCTTGGCCTTCCTCCTCCTACCAACTCGGTAGGAGGGGCCAGCGAGGGCGAGCAGAGGGTCCGCGTCGCTCGCTCTCCTCTCCTGAGACGCAATTACATTTTCCATCAACAAATACTCAAGTTACCGGGTCTAGAAACTGTTCTCACCTGACCAGCTTGTCAGCCAGCGATGCTCCCCATCCACCCTGCTGGAAAGAAAACTGAGAAGAAAAGCCCATTACTCCTCATCAACGTACTCCGGACATTTCAGTAAGAGGCATCTGGTTTCCTCTTCGCGCTCCCAGGCTGGGCCTCCATTTGCTTTGCCCAGAGGTCACTTCAGGGGTTACTACAGCTACGCTTCGCAGCACCCTGGAAATAGGGGGCAGTTTTCTTCCTTGTCACTTGGAGTCACCTGCGTATTTGACACCTAATATGAGAGTTACTGCTATTTAGAAAAGCTACTCAAAGCTGTGCACAATAAATAAAAACTCTATGTTCAGTTAGGAAATCAAGTCCACGCTGTACTACCTTTCCATAGTTGTAAATATTGAAAAGGAAGTTACAGAACTCGGGGTGTACACTTTTTGATACATGGTCACGTGCAATTCGGAAAGCCCGTACTGCCCTAGATGCCAAAAGATGTTACCAATTGTTGGCACAAACACAGAAAACTGATTTAGGCGCGTCTGCATGCGAGGGAAAAAAAATACCCCAAAAACAAAAAAGTCACGGGAAAGTAACTCCCTCTCTGAAATGAGAACATGTATTTTTCCTTACTGTGAATTGAAATGATCCTGGGTGAAAAGATCACCTTCTACTTTATTTGCGGAGGCATTTTTTTCAAAATCAACCAGTTCCACCGGAGGAAGCACAGGGGCGCACTGGTTCCGAGGGCTCGCTGCAGCGAACAGGGTGTGCAGAACCGCGGGGTGCGATTCGGCCGCCGCCGCGGGGGGTCCGGGTGAGCCTCCGGGAAGCCCCCGCGCGGGACACGCAAAGCGCGGCGCCCTCGGGCTCTGCCACCCCCCCGGGCGTGGGCGCACGCGGCCCGGCCCTGCCCGCGCTCACCGCACCCGCAGAACCGCGCTAGGACTAAACGGGGCGGCGCGCACCCACGGCGCAGCCCCAGCGGGGCCGACACCGCCCCGGCCCCGAGGCTGCGGCCCGGCAACGGGAGCCTCCCCGGGCCCGGGAGGTGGCCGGGAGGGGCGTTCGGTCAGGCGGCTGATGTAGCGCGGCATCCGCCCAGGCCTGCCTCGGGGGCGCTCGGCCTTCGGGGCAGCTCTGCCGGGGCGGCGGCGGCAGGCAGGTGGCCTCGACGGCTCGTCCCGACGGGAGGAAGGGAGGCGCGGGGCGCAGGCGGAGCCGGGAAGACCAGCCCCGCGGCTCAGCGCCCGAGACGGGCCACGCGAGGGCCGAGCCGGGCTCCGCGGCCAGGGCCGGGCTGGGCAGCGGTACCTGGGTGATGGAGTCTCCGAAGAGCAACACCCGAGGCCACAGCAGAGGGCTGCCGCGGGCCACCGCGTCGCACAGCGCCATAGCTCCGGGGCGGGGCCAGGCCGGATATCCGGGAGGGGCGGGGCCAGGTCGGGATTGGGGCGGGGCGCGCGCAGCCTTATGCTCTGGTGGCGCCGTCGGGGCTGGCGGCCCTTCGTCCTCTGTGCCCCACGGACCTCCTCTACTAGCGCCTCTTTGGCGCCCAACCAGTCACTTATAAGACGTGTTGCTTCTTGGAAAGCTCGGCCTCGTCTTCGTTCCTCCCGAGTTTGGTGCGGAGCCCACGTGCCCCCGAGAGGCGCCGCGAGGCCAGAGGGCCGCCCAACTGCCAACCCACCCGCCCTCTGGCCAGTGTCCCCGCAGCTGCCCCGGCGGACTCCCAACCCCGAAAGGAGAGCTACCGGGCTACTCCCAACAACCATCTCTTGTTAAGTAAAAACCACTGGGCGAAGGTTTTGACCTTGTTAAGGAAAACATTCCTGACATTTGCTCAAGACAGGCAGATTGTGCACCACAGGGGTTCGCAGTAGGGGATTCAGGAGGTAAAAGGGGATTTGCCAAGCCAAGGAGCAGGGCGCAGAGTCGGGAGGGTGTAACATCACTGAGGCAGGCTCATTTTTTGCTGAACTGACCTGACAGGACTCAGTATGAAGGCAGGCCTGGGTGACCTGGTACCGGGTGGGGGATTTTCACTAAGGGCACCCTGACAGCAGGGTTCTTGCTAAAACTGGATGGGGGTGGCCTACTCGGAAGGCTAGAGCTTGACTCGGGTTTGATCAAAGGAGGGTCCTTGTCACCTCAGCCAGGCGGTGGAGTGTGATGGCTGTGATGAAAATGAGCCACAACGATGTCTTGAAACAACCCGGCTTGAGGCGAAAACCAGAGCAAGGGGCGCAGTGCAGTTAGAAAGCCACCATAACTGGTGGGGCTGGGGCGTCGGGTGGGAGGGCGATGCAGCCAGGACCAATCTCAGGCCGGTGGTTCTCGGGCTTGACTAGGATCCACCTGCGGAGCTTTAAAAACGTGCTGAAAAAGGACCCTCCCTCCAGACCAACTGACTTAACTAATGGTGGTTACATTACACATGGCACAGCATGTCTGTAATGCTCCCCAGATGATTCCAATGTGTAGCCAAGGTTGCGAACCCCTGTTAGGCCAAGTTCAGGTGTTTGCACTCCATCCCACTTTAGTCCTTCAGGGCAGGAATCAGAGAAGATGACTTGGGCTCAAAGAGCCACAGTGGAGATACAGATTCAAGGACAGTTTAGAACCTTAACTAAAACTGGTTACCTCAGGAGAAAGGACATGTTCCCTTTTGCTGTATACATTTTGTTCAGATATTACAAGTGTGAATATTGTATATCAACTATATTCCAATACAAAAAGATACTACCAATGTGTATTTTTTTGGTAACAATGTTTTTAAATCTATTATAACCAAATCTTAATGACATTTACAAAAAGTGACCTATAGACCTTGGATTTGGGCCAAAGACAAAGTAGGGTATCCTATAGAAATAAATATATTTCAAGTAAAAATTCAGATTCATGCATTGAAGTTTGTCACAAAAGCACAGGAAAAGAACAGTTAATGGTTTTAAGTCACCAAAAGGTGAGACCAGATGAAGACTAACCAGTGTGAGTGGGATTTGGGGACTATGGAGAACCAGTGCCCGAAGCGCGGCAGCGAGTTAGGTCACTAGCTTGTGCATGTGCTCACTCCCCTGCAGGCGGGAGCAACCAGAGCTTTTCCTTGGAGGAAATGGCAAAGGAGCCCCTAGCAGAGTTGACCTGCTCCTCAGCATTGGACACTCCTGTGTCTGACTTGTTCAGGTAACTGGTTAATGACTTACATACACATGGAGCAATTCAACAAATGACACCTGAGTACCCTTGAACTTGCGTCATAAAAATGATATTCTGGATCTCTCTGAATTGAATGAATAGATATTATACAAAGAAATTACTGAATCCCAGAAGTCATAATTTTACAGATGTATAAATTAATGAATTTGGCAAGAGTATCAGGAGAGAATAGAAAAGGGGCTTAACTTTAAGTGATAATCTCTATTCCAAATTCAGAATACAGATATGAAAATACCAAACCATCATTATTAAACAGGGTAAGATTCTGATTTAGTTGTTATGAGCAGATCTTAAAGGCCTCAGTGGGAAGGCATTACATGCCTGGAAGGAGAATCAATAAATTCTAAAATAACAGGCAGTTTAGAAGTTCTAGAATAATGGACAAATTAGTTGGTAATTTAGCAGAATTCAAACTGTTGGAATAAAGGTCATTTGACTTCAAAAGTAAATAGGCTACCCCACAGAAACTAATGTATTTTATTTTAAGTAACAGAAATAGGTCAAGCATTAAAAAAAGTTTCACCATATACAGAGACACAGGTTCTCAATGAACTGGCGTAAGGGCCTCATACAGTCTCTGGGCAGCCAGCTCCACCATTTCCCGGAGGGATTCATCATCTTCACTTCCTTCTTCACATTCTACAGCCTGAAGGCGAAAGAACAAACACGCCTTTCAACTTAGAGCGTCTAGAACTATCACAGGGAAGATAAACTTACACTCTTTAAAAACAATTGTCCCCTATAGGGGTGGGAGTCACAGGTGCACCCGGCCATCAAGAACCAGAATGGCTGCATCACACGCTTGTGGGCCAGTGTCTGGAAAGGGATTCCCAGCAGAACTGGATCTAATCCGTGATGAATTTTGGAGAAAAAAATGTCTAGTGAGCTGTACTGACTTGAAAGCCCGTACCTGAGCCAGTAATTGGATCCTCTGATCCAAGGAATTTAGTCTGCAACACAAATTACTTAGCAAGCAATGGAGCATCTACTCAACATGTGGTATTAAATTTGATTTAGACTCACTAATAATCTTCTAGTTACTTTTTAACTACAAAACAACTGTTATTTAAGCAAAAAATTTTTTATCATACCACAATATTCCTTAAATAAAAACTTAGGAAAGAGAAAAAAGTAACACCTTTAATTCTGAGCAAATGATAACTACTGTTAACCTTTCAGTGTATGACCTCCTAGACTTTGGGCTTATACACACATATTTAAAACAAAAATGGGATAATTTATCACACTTGCTATCTTTTGACTCTTCTTCACTCAGTAATGCAGCTGAACAACTATGTACGTCGGTAAAGCTACGTCATTGTTGATGACTGTACATGTGGTATTCCACATGGAAGGGCACCCCATACACATAATTTATTAGTCTCCTACTCTTGGATATTTAAGTCTTTTGCAGTTTTATTTGTTATGATCAATGCTAAAATAGGTATCTTGGATACATATCTTTGGGTCTAATTTTCTTTGATTAAGGCCAGTAAGTGGAATAACGTTTAAGGCTTTTGTTATCTGTATCGCCAGACTGCCCTGCAGAGAGAGGGCACCACCCTGCTGAGCACCTGGGAATAGCTGTTTTCCTCCCCCTTCACTATCCCCCAGTCATACTGCTCTTTACTCATGCCACTATGATATGCAAACAGTAATATTTCTTATGTTAAATTTGTATTTCCTGTAATTATTAGATCTGATCTGAACACGTGTTTCGTGCTCATTGGCTATCTTTATTTCTTCTCTAGTGTATTACTTGTTTACATTCTCAGCTTATTTTTCTACTGATGTAAAACCTAGTTTCTTGAAAATCTAGTCAAAAATATAACAAAAGAAATTTAAAACATGTTATTTGTTTAGTAGAACTGTTCTAATCTTTCAAAACAGCCCCATGAGGAGGACACACTTATTCATTTATGCTTGTGAAATAACCCTGCAGTATCTGCCGCTGGGAGACCAGGAGGCCCCACGCTCTTGAATCTTATTGTTTGGAAAAGCCACTTGGAAGAAATATTACTGGCGCAAACAGAAGAGCAACCTCTCTGAAAAATCTGGAATCTACTGCACGTCAAACCACAGAAATGCCAAGGTGGTAAGGCGTATTATGGAAAATGAGAACAGTGGAGTGACTTACACATGAAAAACCCTGTAACAGAATGAGAACTAAAATGTAAGGATATAAAACTCTCCATATAATAATATAAACACAACCTGTGAAAAAACAAATGTAGGAAAAACTGGAAGGAAATGCCAAAATGAAAAAAGTAAACTGTTAGGTGTGGGACCACAGATGATTTTTACTTTCACTTTACTTCCCAAATGTCGAAATGTAGGAAGGAACAGCCGCATACCCGTGTCTCCAAGTTAATATTTGCAGTTTTTCCATCCACCGTGACACCAAGAATAGAACCATCTTTTACACTTACACAGTCTTCTCCAAATATGTCCCTTAAGATAAACAAAGAAGCAATATTAATGGAGAATGCATTTACAAATTTGTATAGTTCTGTATATTTGGGAAAAAATAATACTGATTATAGGCCCTAATTCTGATGTAAAGCACTTATATCTGTACTTTCATCTACTCTGGAAATGTACTGTGTAATTATTTACTATTATATATTTATTATTAAAACAGGTAAAATACACAGCTATCCTTTATTGTGAATGATTTATTCAGCAGGCATTGTGTTAGGCATTTTATACATATTATCCTAACCTTTTTGTAAGGAGCCCCTTTTATACAAGAAGAAAACAACACATAGTAAAGTGATTTGCCTAAAGCTCGTGTCAATTAAGTCAAATCTAGGTATCTAGACTGACCTGGCTCCCAGGTCCACTGGCTGTCTACTCCATTTAATCAATTACCAATGTCTCCTCTGAGTTAAATTTTGCATTTTCTGAGCTTCTTTTCCATGCCCACTGCTGTGCTAGCCACTGGGGACATGGAAATCCCAAAGACATCGCCTCTGTTACTGAGGATCATGAATTTCCACATTCATGCCCATCAGTTACAACAGCAGCCCAAACAGGAGGCTGGATGCAAGCGAGAAAAGATGGTCAGTGCATCTAAAAGAAAATCCATCGAGTCAAGCTGTGGCCACAAAGTATTAGACTGGGGTTGGAGGCTATCAGCTGCCTTCTCTCTTAGGCAGTTAAGTATGTTTGAATAGATTTGGCTGGGTAAC